GACTTGACTAGTGTGGGTGCCGACATGCTTGTAAGGAGATGGGTGGCGGATTAGAACAATTGACTTGGCTTGACTTGTGTGGAGGGGGGGGGGGGTTGTGTGTTGGTGTGTTGTTTATTAGGAAAGTCTTTGTTGATAAAGTAGTTAGTAAAAGGATCGTAAGAAAAATTAATAAATTATGCAATGAAATTTTGTTAAAATTTTATTAGATTGTTAATTTTTTTTTTTATATTTGATAAGAAACATGTATAGAAAAAGTTAATAAAATTTTTTTTATTGGAATTGTTGGATAAGTCTTTAGATTTTTCCCAGTATTTAGCCATTTCTTTATATGTGTCTTTCTGTTTCTTAATTATTACGAAGTAATTTAACGTGTTTTGGTTTTCAGCATAGTTGTTGCTATTTTGTAGCTTTGTTTGTTGGCACCTTGACCATTTGATGGGCCATTTGTTTGATAACTGGTATTATCTTAAATATATTTCGTCCTATTCCATTATTACTTGAGATCTAGATAGCAACTTGTGATCTTTACTTCTCATATTGCTTAGTTTTTCTTCATTGTTCATTATGCTCACCAACTGTTTGTTAAAATTCCTGAGAGAGTGTTCCATTATTTGACCCTTTTTATTCAACAGGAATCATGCGCACTTTATTTCATATATAAGACAGGGGTACAAAACTCAAAGAGTACAAGTAGCAGATTTATCTCCTGCCACTAGCTACGTAATATCAGTTGGTACTTCTTCAATCCAATACTCATTTGCCTCTGCATGCAGAGCACATATTGCCAATTCATGAGCAACAGAGTTTCCTTCCCTATGAACATGTTGGACTGTGCAGGACAAAAAGGAGGCCATGAGAATTCTGCAATATGAAAGAACAGAGCCCAAGGAAGAGTGCATAGTCAGAATATCAGTGTTAATGGCAGTTACAGTACTTGCACAATCATATTCCATAATAACCTTTCTGAAGGACAATTCTTGAGCCAACTGCAAAGCCTTTCGCAGGCTACATGCTTCAGCAATTTCAGTTGCTGATACCTCCTACCTCTTGCACGACAATGCTACCAGCACCTTTCCAGAGGAGTAATGAGCTACTGCTCCCATACCAGATATTTGCTGTTGTAGAGATAGTGTAGCATCAATGTTAATCTTAACACAATCAGCAAGTGGGGGGTCCACCTCGTGCCATTTTTATTCCGGGTAGGTTTTGCTCCGCCTGTCAAAAGAGCAACTCGTCTATAATCAGGCAGAAAGTGCAAACTATGTTCAATGATATGTCGTGGATTCACATACTTACCATTCCATAAAAGCTCATTTCTAGCATGCCAGATCTTCCAACACAACATACAGAATAATTCCAACTGTTCCTTCTGCAAGAGAGTGCTTATATTGTTAAAGAAATTTGTAAAAGTATCAGCCTGAATTTCTGAGACTAGTAGACTTAGAGGGCAGCCCATCCAAACTGCACGGGCACCCTGGCAAGATTTGAGACAATGTAACACTGATTCATCCTCTAAGTTGCACATAGGGCCTTCAAAATCAATATTCACCCACCAACAGAGAAGATTATCTTTGGTTGGAAGGATATCACAGTAGGATTGCCAAAGAAACAGTTTCAGCTTTTCCAGGATGTTTAAGTGCCACAAACAATCACCTTTAAAACTCGGGGAGGAATTGGATGGTCCAGCAATGCAGTTGTGCATATGCATAGCCTGATGATAACCTGATCGAACTGAAAAATCACCTTGCCGCGTGTAATTCTATGTCCAACCATCCTCCCGATTTGCCCAACTCAATGGCAAGGATAAAATAAGGTGTGCCTCATAAGGATTAAAGTGTTCAAGTACTAACTCATGCCTCCATGTGTGGGTTTCCTCATCAATAAGTTCGTATACATACATGAGCTCACAATTTGCAGGGCGAGGGGTCTGGATATAATAATGATTATTACCAGGAAGCCATGGATCCCCCCAAATCTTTGTATCCCTGCCATTACCAATAACCCTCTTGCAGCCACACTGTAAAAGCTGGATTGAACTCCATATACTTCTTCATGTCAGACTGCACAAAGGCTTTAGTTCAGCTTGCAGAAAGTTTGAGCGAGGGAAGTGCTTTGCTTTCATTACTCTAGTAGCCAGGGAGGTAGGATTTACAGGCAAATGCCAACCTTGCTTTGCCAACATTGCGAGATTAAATTTATGAAGCGCACGAAAGCCCAACCCACCTAACTTTTTGGGAATGGCTAGCCGCCGCCACTCCATCCAATGAATTGTGCTCCTCTTCATCTCCACCCCACCAGTACCTATTCATAATTCTTTCCAAGGAAGTACAGAAAGTAGTTGGGAGTAAGAAGAGACTCATAACATAAGTAGGCAAGGCTTGCAACACTGACTTTATTAGGATCTCTCTACTTGCTCGAGAGAGTGGTTGCTCTCTCTATTCAGCTATCCGAGTCCAAAATCTGGATTTTAACCATGAGAAAGAGGTGATTCTCGACCTATTTACTCTAGTAGGAAACCCCAGATACTTCCCTGGATCCACAGACTCCTACATATGTAATAGGCGGATGATGTTATCATGTACCTGCTACTGGACATTAGTGCTAAAGTAATACAAGATTTTTGCAAATTGACCACTTGACCAGAAGCTTTCTCATACCTCTGTAGAATATTCATCAGTTGTTCAGTTTCAACCTCCGTTGCTTGTAAAAATAAAAAGCTGTCGTCAGCGAAGTAGAGGTGAGATATTGGAGGTTCTTGACAAAAAGTCTAATCTTTTTTATTTAAAAAATGAAAAGAGAATCATTGCATGTTCATTGAAGACTTGACCTGAGTCTTTTCTTTCCATATGAAAATCACCTTATTTACACTCCCCACTAATTTTATTTTATTTTTTTTTTTTTTTTTTTTGTCTTTCCACAATTTGTTCGAAGCGGGTTGGACAATAATGTTTCTTCTAGCTTTTCCTAAAACGGGGCCTAAAATTGTGATTTGCTTGACTTAAAAAAAAATCGATGTTTTTGTCTTATAATTAATTCTGTAACAGATTATAAGATTAGAATCATTAAGAAAAAAAAAAATCTAATATTAGAGATCTTTTATTTTAATAGTTCTGAATTTATAGTCTATTGCAAAATAAATTATAAGATAATTTTTCATTTAAAAAATTCCTTAAAATGTGAAAAATATCTTTAAATGTAAACTTAATCATGTGAGGCATGCATGATTGTAAGATGACATGAAAACCCATGTCAATAGCCACCATTGTTTTGCTTGTTCTTCATGGATTTGGATAAGAACTCAGGCTTCCATTCTAGCTGTCCATTTCTTATTGAAGACTTGACTTTTTTAAATTACTCCTTCAAGTTCAAGATTAATCCCCACTTCCATCACTCAACCTCACATAAATGTTGTTTAATTAATTAAGTTATAAGGAATTATGAAAAACCATACTATATATATTCAAATTTATGATGTAAATAATTCTAATATGTCACGTTTGCTATAAAATGGAGCTTTATTTTATGTATGTTGACTAAATAGTTTATAAGTGCTTGTGAGATTAAATTGATAAAAAAATCTAGATACAATTATTATCTAAAAAAGAGATTTTGTTTAATTAAATTTTTCCTTTTTGTAAATGTGTAATTAAAGGTTAACTGATTTGGCTTAATGCAGACCACTAAAGCCACAGTGGCTGCTTCAAAAATTCTACCGGCCACCTCTATTAATATATTGAATTTTTTTTTTTTGAACATGTTTACAAAAGCCAAATTTGAACCGTTGTTCGAAAAAAAAGAATGCACTTTAACGTGACTTTGTTGCTACTAGACTGAAAGCCTAAATGCTATTAATATATTGAATTTGAACCTACATAACTGAAAGCTTTTTATATCCATCTTGCTATGAACTAAAAAATAAATAAAAATTGAGAATCAGACTCATTTCCCCTTTTGCTTGATCTGAAGGACAAATAAAATGCTTGGTGTATATTTAGGGCAGATATATATATATATATATATATTTGGTGGTTCGGTTATCTTGTAGTATTAGTTTTCTTAATCTCATTTTGATATGATTAAAAGCAGATCTACACGCTGTTATCTCATGGTAAAAAAGTTCTGGGTGGTCTAATCTTGTAATTAATTATGTTAACAAGAAAGCACTGAATTTGATTAATCTAGAATTTAAAATAGGGTCTTGAGCTTTGGTTTGGTCAAAGGTGCTCTCTCACCTAATAAACAACAAAACATTGTCAGTAGCCTTTGTTCATTGAATTAAAAACAAGGATTATTATTTTTATTATTTTTATATATTCCTTTCACTTTACTGGGTAAGTCCCTTTGTTCAATGTTCTAAGATTTGGATAAAGGGAGATGGGGGATGCTTCCATAAGGTCCACAACCCTTATTTATTTATTTATATCATATGATTGAGTTCTATAATAAGGAATAAATTTCATATTTGAATAAACTTACTTTACTTCTTTTAAAAATACGAATATAAGAATTTTAATTTAGAATATTAAATTTTTAATTATTTAATAGGAGAAATTCAATTTGGCTACTAAGCTTTATAACTGTCTTTATCACATGTTTTTATGGACCATTTATGACCAAGAAACATATGAAACTTTCCATTTTCTGAGACAGATTTTCTCTTGAACTATCAGGAACCTACTCCATCTCCCTCAATTACCATCATCCTTCATGATTTCATATAAGAGCCCCACCTCCTTCCCCCGGGTTGTTATTTTGCTTTTTGTTTAAGGTTTCTTTTCCCTTTTTTGCCCCCTTATTTTTCATTTTCTTTGCTTTGCCCCAAAGGTTTTAATTTTGCTTACTTTTTTCCTTTGTTTCCCCTTATTGTTTTTCCTTGCTTCTTTGAAACCAAGGCCGGTTACCAACCAAAGTTGTTTTTTTTTTTTTTCCTTGTTTTTTCTTTTCGTTTTTTTTTTTTTTGCTTGGTTCTTTTTTGGGCTTTTTTTTTTGAAATTGATTTTCGCGTTTTTTTTTTCCTTGGGTTTTTTGAAAAAGGGGGAAAAATGGGAGGTTTGTGAACGTGGAATAAAGGGAATGAAAGCTGTTTCTCACCCTCTTTTTAACCTTTTTGGTTGTATCCAGTTTCCCTTTCTTGGTGGGGATTGACTGCTAATTCCAACCTGGAAAATGTCGTGACTATCACAAAACCATCCTCAACTGTTTAACTTAGAAGAATTGATACTATATTCAGCTGATTTGTTGTACCAAAAACCAATCCTTTCTTGATGTCTCTGGCAAATCTCTACTCAATCTTTTGTATGCCAGTAGTTTGTGCTTGGCATTGAATATCAGGGTCCCCACCCAAAAGTTCCATTCCTGGCCTGCTTTAGGTGATAGAAGTCCCCATGTTCATATTAAATATGGAGCAAGGCTAATGGAATTGAATTTTCATAATCTGTTATTAGAATTTCTGACTTCGTGCACAAAATTAGTATATCTGAATTTAAGGGTATATATGTTTTTGCATTGGGATTCAAATGTCTCAAGGTTCATTAGGTTTGAAATTACAGAAACATAAGGTACAAAATGTACGGATATAACTATGTAATCCTCTATTGACGGATAATTGATTATCATCGAGCCTGCAAGAGTGAGATGGTAAGATTGTTTACTGACATCGAGCTATGCTTGCTCAATAAAGAATCTGATAAAGTGAAGTCTTTTCTAGCAAGAAACCAGGTTCTTTTGGCTCAGGCAATTCTATCTCACTTCCCAACATAAGCAACACAGATGACATGGTTGGCCTGTCCTCAGGAGTCTGTTGTACACATAAAAAGACTGATATGGATGCATCTTGCAACCTCTGATTGAGAGTAAGACTCTCCTAAGAATTTATCAACAAGTTCTAAAGGTTTGCTTCCTTTCCAAAAGCCCCATGCCTAAAGCATATTAAAGCCTTTGCGTCATTTTTCATTTCAAAAGAATATATAGGAAGCAAAAGAATGATTGAGTAAACTTACATGTCCATTGAGGTTAATGCTATGATTTGAATGATACATTCCTCTATTTTTAGTCCCACTTACTATCTCCATCAACAATACACCAAAGCTAAAGACATCTGATTTCAATGAGAAAAACTCATCAACGGCCTGTTTTGGTGCCATATAATCACTGCAGAAAATTGTTCAAAAAAGAATACAAAAATGTGGATTTAGAGATAAAACTATGAAGAATTGAAGTATATTTGGTAAAGCAATACTTACTAAGTTCCAACAACTCAGTTAGTGTTTCCTTCAGTCTGGTCTCCACCGCAAGTTTTGGCCATGCCAAAATCTGAAATTTTAAGTTTCATCTCACCATCAAGAAGAACATTTCTAGCTTTGAGATATCTATGTATGATCCACAGCCTAGAGGCCCTAGAGTCTTGGTGAAGGTAGAGAAGTCCCCTAGCAATCCCACAGATAATCTGGAAATGCTTGGACCAATTTAGTTCTTTATGCCTTGTTTGATCTGGAAAACATTAATGTGTTCATGGTAACTTAGTACCCTACTTGTCTAAAATGTATGACACAGCGATAACATAACTACTTTGGTTTAAGTTAGAAACAAATTAAAGTTCTTAAAGGACTTCAACCCAAAAATGAATGAGTCCAGGCTTCTGTTAGGCATGTATTCATAAACCAGCAATTTCTCATCTCCTTCAATGCAACATCCAAGAAGCCTAATAAGATTCCGATGCTGAAGTTTGGCTATCAGCTTAACTTCATTCTTGAACTCAGTTAATCCTTATCCAGAACTCCTGGAAAGCCTTTTCACGGCAATTTCTTGCCCATCCATTAGTTTTCCCTAGTAAAAAAGGTGGGATAAGTGATTAAAAACAAACACAATGTACTTATGGCCAGATTTAGCAGTATGCTGCAATATACCTTGTAAACTAGTCCGAACCACCACTGTCCTAGCTTGTTGGTGAGTGAAAAGTTATTAGTGGCATGAGATCTTATAGCTAGTTCAAATACTGGAAGCTCCATGTCTTCTTTTTGAACTTTATTATAATATTCTCCCTTGTCTTCTCTTCTTTCTGAAATAGTACACAGGGTTTACATTAATCATCATATCTGGAGAACTGAAACAGTTTTGCTTTGATCAAAAGTACTAGAGATTTAAAATCATTCTATTTATCAAGCAATCTTTATTTATTTTTTTCTAGGTAATATATAAAAAGCAGATTCAAAACAAAGCCAACAGTTAACAAATGGAAGAAA